AAAAAAAAAAAAAAAAAAAAAATCTGCATAGACAAAAAGTTACAAAGAAATATGGCAAAAATGTTAACTGACTATTGATAAAAGGTGGAAAATGGTCGTTTTTTATTTTCAACTTTCTCATACTTTCTAAATTTTCTCACTGTTTCTATAACCTCTAAAGTTAAAAAAATTTTGAAATGGTATATAGAAATTCTATTTACATTTTAAGTGATTTATGATCAATATGTCTATTCCTTTCCTATTACTATTGTAACAAATTACCAATTGGGGCTCAAAACACTACAAACTTTTTATCATACAGTTGTGGAGGTCAGAAGTCTGAAACGGGTTTAACTAGGCTTAAAATCAAGGGGTTGGCTTGGCTATGTTCTTCTCTGGAGGCACTAGGGGAGAATCCTTCACTACAGCCTTCCTAGGGAACCTTTTTTTTTCCTTTTTCAGCTTTTAGAGGCTGCTCCCATTCTTCAGCAATCACATCCCTCCAACCTCTGCTTTCATTGCCGTATCTCTGACTCTCTCTTCTGCCTCCTCTTCCACTTTTAAAGAATCTTATGATTACATTGGGTCCACTTGGAAATTTCAGGATAATCTATCTTAAGGTCAGCTGATTAGCAACATTAATCCCATCTACAACCCTAATGTTCTTTATGATGTAACCTAACATATTCACGGGTTATGGAAATTAGGAGATGGACACTTTTAGCAGATGATTATTTTGCCTACCATAGTATTTCTGAGAAACCTGTGAACCCTCTAGCAATTATGCTATAGAATTATAAATCTGAATTTCAGGTTATAATCTTAAATTGTCAGCTAAATTCTTACTCTGCACCACTAATATTGCAAAAAAAAAAAAAGCAAAAACCGTCTAAAATGTTGAAAGTAAAAGTATATTTTTTTCACACAGGTCCAGTTTTATTAATTTATTTTTAAAAAGGACCTTTGGCTGGGCATGTTAGCTCACAGCTGTAATCCCCGCACTTTGGGAGGCCAAGGCAGGCAGATCACTTGAGATCAGGGGTTCAAGACCACCCTGGCCAACATGGTGAAATCCCGACTCTACTAAAAATACAAAAATTAGCCAGGCATGGTGACAGTCACCTATAATCCCAGCTACTCAGGAGGCTGAGGCAGGAGAGTCACTTGAATTCAGGAGGTGGAGGTTGCAGTGAGCCAAGATCACACCACTGCACTCCAGCCTAGGTGACAGAGCAAGAGTCCATCTCAAAAAAATAAATAAATAAAAATAAAAAAGACCTGTACACAGTACTTCACAGGATAAAGTACATATCTATATACTATAGGTGTTTTGTAAGGTATTTTTAAAAACCTTTTGACCTGGTCAAGCACAGTGGCTCATGCCTGTAATCCCAGCACTTTGGGAGGCCTAGACGGGCAGGTCATGAGGTCAGGAGTTCAAGATCAGCCTGACCAACATGATAAAACCCGTCTCTAGTAAAATTACAAAAATTAGCCAGGCATGGTGACGCATGCCTGTAATCCCAGCTACTCGGAAGCCTGAGGCAGGAGAATCGCTTAAACCCGGGAGGCAGACGTTGCAGTGAGCCAAGATCGCGCCACTGCACTCCAGCCTGGGCCACAGAGAGTGACTGCATCTCAAAAAAAAAAAAAAAACAAAAAAAACTTTTTGACTCAATTTTGATAGACATTATCCTTTTTTAAAAGATGAAAAAACATTCAGCGAGGTTATGCGATTTTCGGATGTGTATAGTTAGTAACTGAAGAAGCCAGTAGCCGGTATACAAACCCAAATATGATTAGAGTCTAGTGTTTATTTTACCACACAATCAAAAATCAACTTCTCATAAGTTTCCAGAACTGCTAACTTGAATAACAAACATCCCTTACTCTGTGACTGAACACCTATAATTTTTTTTTTTTTAATAGAGATGAGGTTTCCCCATGTTGGCCAGGCTGGTCTTGAACTCCTGACCTCAGGTGATCTGACCACCTTGGCCTCCCAAAGTGCTGGGATTACAGGCATTAGCCACCATGCCTGGCCTATAATTTTTTAAACTTTATCTCTCCCTGGAAATCACATGTATTCGAAGAAAAATTAATACATCTGACATATGAACATGTTATATCATCATAAAAGTCCCTGTGAGATCAAATATAAAATTAAGCCTCCAACCTTAATTTACATACAAATTTCAGCCCCTTCATAATACTAAAATGGAAGCTTCAACAAGATCCCTTCAGCCAAGGGTGTCCAATCTTTGGGTTTTCCTGGGCCACAGTGAAAGAATTGTCTTGGGCCATACATATAATACACTAATGATGGCTGATGAGCTTAAAAAAAGAAATCACACATAAAAAAATCTCATGATGTTTTAAGAAAGTTTATTAATTTGTGTTGGGCTGCAGTAAAAGCTGTCCTGGGCCACATGCAGCCCACAGGCCAAAGACTAGACAAGCTTGCCAGAGGTTCAGGGTAAAAAAGAAACTATTTCACTCACTGCCCTGAATATTACTATTTTCTGCATGCCAGTGAAGAACCACCACTAGAAATTAACAGAATTGATCTATTCATAAAAAAGCAACAGATGTCTTTTCTTATATTTGTGGTGCTATGCCTGGAAAACAGTAAAGCAAAGTGGTTAGAAGCATAGGCTTCAACTCAAGGACCAACTCTAATCACTGGTACAGGCTACTGAAGTTCTACGCTGGTAAGAATCATGAAGCCCTAATTTCTGCCAAGAGCACAGAGCATGAGGAACAAAAGCAGGAGCGCCAGGTATCTACCATCCACAGGGGCAGATGCTTTGGAACTGAGCAGATCTGGGCTCAAATCCTGACTCTTTCACTAATTCTATGACAGTGAACATGTTACTTTATCTCTCAGGGTCTTCATTTCTTCTTCTGTAAAATGGGGATAATAATAACCTCTTATAGGTTACAATGAGAATTAAACTATATAACTTATGAATGCCCAAAACTGAAGATCTTATGTATAGTAAGTACTCAATAAATTCTCGTTATCATTAGCTGAAGTTTTTGTTTTGTTTTGCTTGTTTGTTTTTTGGAGTGCAGTGGTGCAATCACAGATCGCTGCAGCCTCAACTTCCCAGGCTCCACTGATCCTCCCACCTCAGCCTCCCAAGTAGCTGGGACTATAGGTATATGCCACCACACCCAGCTAATTTTAAAATTTTTTATAGAGATGGGGTTTCACCACATTGCCTAAGCTGGTCTTAGTCTCCCAGGCTCAAGCAGTCTACACACCTCAGCCTCCCAAAGTACTGGGATTACAGGTATGAGTCACTGTGCCCAGCCTGATTTTTTTCTATCGTACTGTATTGTATTGTACTGTACCATACTGTATTGTATTGTATTTATTTTTTGAGATGGAGTTTTGCTCTGGTCGCTCAGGCTGGAGTGCAATTGTGTGACCTCGGCTCACTGCAACCGTCACCTCCCGGGTTCAGGCGATTCTCCTGCCTCAGCCTCCTGAGTAGCTGGCGTTACAGACGCGCACAACCACACCCGGCTAATTTCTGTATTTTTAGTAGAGATGGGGTTTCACTATGTTGGCCAGGTTGGTCTTGAACTATTTGTTCTATTCTAACCTCACGTAAAAATATTTTTGCTAACATAAGTTAAATCTATAATTTTAGAAAATACAAAATCATACACGGTTTCTAATGTTCTCGACGCATACCATTTTCTTGAACAGTTTTATCCTTTTCTTTTAAATAAGCACTTATTTACTTTGGATAGCTTAGATCAAGGTTTGCTGTTGTTTGTACCTAATTTTTGCTCTAAATGAAACTGAATAAAATATAAAATACCAGAGCATGGAAAAAGATAAGTATTGTTCCATAAAAGTTTGTTTCTCATATGTGGGGAAGGGGGCACTGAGAGGGATCCCAATGTATGTAGGTAGTTCTGTGACTAAGGGTGCAGTTACAGAGTAAAGTATATCCTAGCCTGTGTATACACACTTTAACAGTCCATTATGTTGGACTTTAGAATCTCTACCAGGTGGAAAAAAAAAAAAAAAGATGGAATAAAAAAGGATAGAAGATATTTTTCCCTTCGATCAATCTACCATTTTCCTTCACAAGCAATAAAATGGTCAACTAATACATCTCCAGCAGAAAATGACTTCCTCTCAAGAACTATAAGCTTCCCCTTCTCAAGACAGTTATCTCAGAGATTAGACTAGAGATAAGCAGACAAACAGAACCTTATACCTTGTCGGGAGTCCCCAAGACCAGCCAACATTCAAAGATTGATGTATACCTCAGATTGTTTACAGTGATGTAGTGAGAATATTCAGCTGGACCACAAGAGGAAAAGACACAGAGCAATCTGGGCACAAGCTTTCTTATTCTCTCTCCCTCCCGAGGGGACACTCAAGCATGCTGCTTTTTCCGACAACAAAAAAAGCAGTAACACCTGTGCAATGTTTCTCTCAGGGAAGCTCATTAGAAACTCAGTGCCCAACGTTTTTATTGGGGACTTGAGAGGATAATCACTCAGGCACCCTCTCTGTCCTGGCAGTGGGACAAAATTCCAGATTCCTAGAAGGAAAGCTGGTAATCTCTGAAACATCTGAGGCACAGCCAACCAGTTTTATCAGACAGTGAAGGGTGGGAACACTCCCAAATTCCAAGTTCCCAGACACCAGCTGATGGAAAGGTGTATAAGCAGGCCTTTCTAAAGATAGCAATTTCAGGTCTGCTATGTTAACTCTTTTCTGCACAGATACAAACCTTTTCAAAGTCCTGTCCACACATAAAAGTGGCTATTTCTAACAGCCTTTAAGACCTTGTACCATTTAAGGGCTTCTTTAGAAGATGGCACTATATATATCCAGTAGATCTGAAACATTCCAAAATAGACCAAAAAATAGAAGGCTTTAGTCAATCTCATCTGTTCTCAACCAGTGTTTCTTTCTAATATTAAGAGACAGTGGACATTTAACTTTCTTACTTATCTCTTACCCAGAACTCCTCGGGCTGCGCTGTCTAGAGTCCCTCCATGCCCAATTTTCAAAGTCTGCTTTTTCCTCTTGCTCCATTCTGGAGAAGGCATTCCAGCTTCTACAAGAGTAATGGGGATGAAAAGGAAGGTGATTACCAAGACAAATGAAGTAGGATCTCCATAAACTCGGGAGGAAGAGGGGATGGCATTTTCAAAACATTTTATTGCCATTTCAATAAAGGCAATAAAAAGTACTGTACAAACTTTACATGTTAAGAAACTATGACCTCATTACTAACAAAGAAAATATTTTAAAATGGACATTCTCTAAATTATAAAGAAACAGTATTCTAAAATTAGCTATCTGTATACTAGAATTAATTCTCTAAGAAAAAAACCAGCATTTTTAAAAGGTGGGTAAATATCCAGGCTAACCCGCAAAAATCTAGTAAATTCTTGGTAGTGGTGAGCTGATAAGAGAATCATGAAAAAAAGTTAATCTTGATATAGAAAGATACTTTTAAAAGTCCTCAATTTGGCTGGGCGTGGTGGCTCACACCTGTAATCCCAGCACTTTGGAAGGCCAAGGCAGGCAGATCACAAGGTCAGGAGTTTGAGACCAGCCTGGCCAATATAGTGAAACCCCATCTCTATTAAAAATACAAAAATTAGCTGGGTATAATGGCACGTGCCTGTAATCTCAGCTACTCAGGAGGCTGAGATAGGAGAATCACATGAACCTGGGAGGCAGAAGTTGTGGTGAGCCAAGATCATGCCACTACACTCTAGCCTGGGTAACAGAGCGAGACTTTGTCTCAAAAAAAAAAAATTTTTTTTTTTCAATTTCCATTTCTAAATCTCTTCCATGGTCTTCGCTGGTATCTCCAGCTACCAAACATTGGGAGTATAACTCATGCAGGGCTACTTCTAAATACACCAAATTCCCACACTTCCTGTATACGTGGTCTCCCTCTCCTAATCAAAACTTGCAATTCATTAAAGAAGAAAATCTCAACATTATGTGGAAAGCAGCTAAGATTAAGTGGCACCTTAACTTCATAAGCACTCAGATTTCTTTTCCTTTCTTTTTTTTTTTTTGAGACGACATCTTACTCTGTCCCCCAGGCTGGAGTACAGTGGTGTGATCTCAGCTCACTGCAATCTCCGCCCCCTGAATTCAGGTGATTCTCCTGCCTCCACCTTCCAAGTAGGTGGGATTACAGGTGCCGACCACCACGTCTGGCTAATTTTTGTGTTTCTAGTAGAGACGGAGTTTCACCATGTTGGCCAGGCTGATCTCAAAACTCCTGACCTCAGGTGATCCATGCATTTAGATTTTAGAAAGAGGATGCCAGCCTGGCATATCTCATATTCCTGTTGTAAATATAAAGTGAGCCAGGCACAGTGGCTCATGCCTGTAATCCCAGCACTTTGGGAGGCCGAGACAGGAGGATCACCTGAACCCAGAAGTTCAAGATCAGCCTGGGCAACACAGGGAAACCCCGTCTCTACCCAAAATAAAATTTAAAAAATTATCTGGGCATGACGGTGTGCACCTATAGTCCTATATACTTGGGAGGCTTAGGTGAGAGGACTGCTTGAGCTTGGGAGGCAGAGGTTACAGTTAAGTCAAGACTGTGCCACTGTATTCTAACCTGGGCAACAGAGCGAGATCCTGTCTCAAAAAAAAAATAATAATATTTTGTGCAGCTGCAGGGCATATGTGGNAAAAAAAAAAAAAAAAAAAAAAAAAAAAAAAAAAAAAGATAAAGCAAAATAAGTGTTATTTGAAAGTACTTTGGGGGTACAGAGTCAGTGCTTCCTTCTAGATAAATATAAGTCATTTTGATAATGGCATACAACATATTGAGAGAGTACTGGCTATTAGACTTCAAGTGAGAAAGAAGAGAAAAGCAGGAAAAGCTATATTGATCTATACCTGCCCCCAAACCCATCAAGCCTTCATTATCACCACTGACACCGAGCAGAAAGAAAATAAAGAAAATGAAACGAGTAGACAGAAAAGGGAAGAGGGAAAAGCAAAGCAAGAGGGGAAATGCAGAAGCCAGTTTAAATGGCCAAAAGGTTATGTTGGGTGGTTTGGCCTCCCAGCAAAATTACAACTCTAGCGAGTCACAACCATGGTCTCTGGAACACCCTGGCATCACTCTCTAATTATGGCATCACCATACTTAGATGGGTATGGCTGTCTGCATTAACATAAACTTCTAAGGTCAGACCTAGGTTTCAAACCCTTGACCTGTCACTTGCAACCCCTCAGGGATCTCTCACCCATAAATTAACAGAAACCTTCTGGGGAACTCTGCATTTTCAACTTCTCTCCTTCGAGTAAGAAGGCCCCACTATCTTCCCTTTGTGCCCAAAAATACCTCCTTCTAACGTGCAGACATACTGCCTCTATAAAGTGAGGAATTTAGTTCACCCCACTGAACTAAGTATTTGTGGATAAATATTTATTATTTTCTAGCTCTAAAATTGTGGTACACTTAGGGCTTTGAAGGATTCAAACAAAAAGTAGGGATTGTTGTATAACAGGAATCAATGTAAGGAAAGACAAGGAATGGTATTAGAGGCCACAACCATTGTCTGTGGGTGTTAAACACATTAGAATGTAGGTATCTTTAAGAACCTTCCCAAGTAATTCTGACAGCCAGTTAAAATGGCATTTGGGAAGCCCTAACCTAGCTAACATAAATAAAGAATAGGTCAATCACACACAAGCAATACAGAAATCAAGGATCATGACAATGTCTCTAGCTAAAAGTTGTAGCCTAGCAACAGCCTTGAAACAATCATTTTAATCAAGATTCCACAAGAAACTTCAGTTCTTAGAGGCAGATTAACCAGAAGGCCAGAATATGGCATTGTCAGAAACTTGTCTGAAAGAATGGTAATCATTACCTTAAGGATTAAAAAAAAGCAACAACCCAGAGTTTTGCTAACAAATCAGGAAAGGAGCAGTTCTATAAAGGAAAATGTAAAAAAAAAAAAAAATAAAAAATAAACCTATGATGACACCACAGTGCATATCCTTGATGCAATTCCTCACTTTGACATCCTCTGTGTGACCCTCCTTTCAGGCAAAAAAGTAAACTTTGATACTGGAATTAAACATCTACAGGAGTGTACCTATTTGCCCAAAAACATTTAAATCGGTACTGTCAGTTAAAATTACCATAAGAATAATTTGGTTTTGCATTTTAAGTGTAAAGTTTTCCATGGGACACTAAACAATGTGAGAAAGTCCCTGTACTTGTTTAATGGCAAGACAGAATAGGGCCAAATTCTGGAGGGCCTTGAATAACCTAGCTGACTAGTTTTACCACCACACGGTGCAGAAATTAGTAGGCGATAAGCTCGGTGAAGGTAATCATCTTCAAGTCTCTATAGGCTGGCACAGACCTGGCTTATGTGGATATCCAATGATGCTATATGTGTGAAATGATCTACCGAGCTGATGAACAGGGTGATTCTTTGGGCTTGTCTAGTAATTTCCCAGCGTACATGAATAAATGAATCAATAAAAAGAACATTCAGCTTACTGAGCAAGTTATATTGAATGTTCCTTAAACGTGGCCCATAAGCTACTTACACTAGAATCACCTGGAGTAACTGTTTAGAATTGCGTTTTCCTAAAAATACCCCGAACTCTCCGAATCACAGTCTCTGAGAGGACAGGAATTAGGAATCTGTATTTGTACAAGAGATTCTAAGTAACTGTTAGGCCCACTAAAATGTGAAAAACCACTATGTTAGGTCTTGGTTAACGAAGTATATATGCATTTCCCATGTATTTTGAAGAATGCAGAGCCAGTGCTTCCTTTTGGGGTTCATCCACATGAACCCAACAAAAGCCTCCTGAAGGATGAGATTACAGAAAATAGGTCTGCACGCCCAAGGGAAGGGTTTTATTGATGTTTTTTTTTCCTCCTGTTGAGAACTACAACTGCCATGTAGGCTACAAGTGTTCGTGCCACCGCAAGTCCAAGCCCGAGACGCCCGAAATTTCTGTCCAGACCTAATTCAATGGTCATTCTCCCTTTCCCTTCCTTCTGTCTCTTGAGTCACGAGCGTCGCAAAAAGCGCTTCCCCTCTCGCGGCGACCGCCTCAGCCTGGTCCCCACCCGGGCTGCAGTACCTGCCAGCAGCTTCTCCTTCAACCGATTCAGCAGCTCGGCTGAAGTGGGCCCTTTGGGCTTGTGTACGGCGAACACGCCGCTCAGGGACAGCAGCTTTGTAGCCAAAGCGGCCTTGGAGATCCTGGCTTCGGATCCTGTCCTGGCCGCGGCCGCAACAGCCGCGGCTGCAGCTGTTGCTGGCGGGGTCGCAGCCATTGCTGCGACCGCTCCTGCAGTTTCAAGGACAGGGGATGTGTCTGTTTTCAAAGACGACGAAGACACCACCACCGGCACCTCAGAAGCTGCCATACGTTTGTAGCCCAGACCTAATTTATCGCGGAGGCGCACGCTGATGATGCAACAAGAATGCGCCGAACAGGCCCCTCTTCCTCGTACCGCAAGCCGCGCTGCACGAGAGAGTCGCAATGGCTTGTGGGAATTGTAGTCCATGGCCTTCCCATACAGGCAAGAGCTTGCTGTGCTCTTGTATTTTAAATAGAAAATTTTAAATATTGACTTTTCCTGGGGCTTGTGAAGATCCATGGCTTCCTGGGCTCACTGCTTAATTGACTGTATTGTGCTCTTGAATTCAGGCTCAGAATTAATATACATCCAAATGTGAGCTCTATTAGAGCGAAGAACTTACATACCACATTGACTCACATCCCAAATGCCTCACACGTTGTAGGCACTTAAATAAATATTTGAAAACGTATAAATAAATACGAATTATTCAAATTCCCCAAAGAAACTTCTAGGCCAAGTCAATGGTAAATCACTTGGGCTTATTTTGATACTCTTCATGTACTCCTTTTCACCCCCTAAAACCCGACTGCCCCCACTGCAATTTTTAATAATTCTGATTTTGAATATCAGCTCTTCTGTGCGTTGCATCCCTTAGATAGCAAAAGGCATTCTTGCAATTTATAAAATTTAAACTACTTTCCCTTTGAGACCTTCTCCCTAAAAGTCATTCGCTCCCCAACAAGATCAAGGAATGTTGTTTTGATTCCAGCACAAGGCAGAGTGGAGAAAAATTACTTCTGCACCAAACACATGAAATGCTATCATAAGTATTGTGAGACAGATAAAGTTTGCCCTCATTGTTCTTTAGGTTTCTTTACAGCCACTTTTTCTTCTCATGATACTCTAGGACTTTAATATCTAATATTTTGATGATGCCCCCTAGCTGCTCAGAATCACCAGTTATGGGATCCCATTTGAATTTGTGCTCATTTGTGCAACAAACAAATGGCAGAACAATTTATTAAAAGGAAAAAAAAATCTTTAAGGGAGTATTTTCAGGGTGGAAAGCTGAATCTCCTAGAAGAAAGTCACCTACTCTTGGGGTCTATTATAAAAGCCTAAACTAACTGAAAAGACTGTCATATCACAAGATTAGTGGACACCTGACCCTGCTTCAAGATGTTCATTTTTCCAGGAAGATGAGGAAGATGTCATGACTTCAAAGGGATGACTGCACCCAAAGGAGTATGGTGTCCTTTAGCCTGAGGAAAGAGCTCTGTGTTCCCGTGGCATGGAAGCAGAGATCCAGGGACTTGCCGGGAAGATTGCAAGGCTTGACCAATGATGACTTGGAGATTAGAGGCTTTTTCCCAACTGTCTGGAGATCAGCAAGCCTCCTGTTTTCTTTATAAATTACCCAGTCTCAGATATTCCTTTATAGTAACACAGACAAACTAATACATACCACATATTTTACTTATTTTGTTTAATGTCTGATGCCCTTTATCAGAATATCAGTTTCATGTGATTAGGAATGTTTTATTCATTGCTATATCTCCAGGGCCTAGAATAATGTCAGATATAGCACTCAACAATATTGGGTTGATTTGTTTTGTTTTGTTGAGATGGAGTTTTGTTCTTGTTGCCCAGGCTGGAGTGCAACATAGATATAAAATCATAAAATCATAGATGTGAGTCACAAGTCACAAGTGTAGCTTACCACAACAAGCTTCAAATTTCATTATTTCATGTTGCAGATGTGGAACTGAGGCAAAGAGAATAAAATCACCTAAAGCCATATAACAAAACTCCACCTTTCTGGACCAGCTTCCACGCTGCCTTCAACCACCCAAGTACCTCAAAGGGTCATTAATTAATAAGATTCAAAAATTAGCAACTCCAAATTTGTCACTAACTCCTCCACGGCTGCATTTCAGGGGCACTTTTCTGATCCCTGTCACAGGCATATATGCCTGGGAAAGCTGTTCTTTACAATGGCTATTTCTTTCTCTCCCTTCTTTCCTTCCTTCCTTCCTTCCTTCCTTCCTTCCTTCCTTCCTTCCTTCCTTCCCTCCTTCCTTCCTTCCTTCTTTTCTTCCCTCCTTCTTTCCTTTTCTTTTCTTTCTCCTTCCTTCCTTCTTTCATTCCTTCCTTCCCTCCTTCCCTCCCTCCTTTTTTTCTTTTCTTTCTTTCTTGTGCAGCAGTGCGATCTCAGCTCACTGCAATCTCCACCTCCCAGGTTCAAACAATTCTCCTGCCTCAGCCTCCCGAGTAGTTGGGACTACAGGCATGTGCCACCATGCCCAACTAATTTTTTGTATTTTTACTAGAGACAGGGTTTCACAGAGTTAGCAAGGATGGTCTCCATCTAACCTTGTGATCCACCCACCTTGGCCTCCCAAACTGCTGAGATTACAGGCATGAGCCACCATGCCTGGCCAACACAAAGGCTTTCTCAAATGTTGTTCACCTGTGCAACTTTCTATAGATAGTAGAATCAGAGAAAGTAGCAAATGATGAGTGCTATTAGACCACATAGTCCATCCAAGTTCTTCATTTAAAAAAGGAAGCACAAAAAGGTATTCCTGAAAACCAGGGTGCAAAAGCTGAGTATGCTCAAACCTGTGTGTAGACTTGAGAAAGATGTAGTTTGAAAGTCCAGAGAAAAGGTAAACATGTTCCATCTTTTCATGATTTCCATAATGAAATTTGAGAGAGCTGGAACTCTTTTTAAAAAAATCTTCTGGTAACGTAATTAAAGAAACCAGTGGCTGCTTGCACAAGGATCTCTGCTATGAACTGTGGAGTCTAAAGGAAATATAATATCTTTAGAAGTAGGCTTCTAGAAAATTTTCCTTTCTAAGGTACAAAATGTCTGTAATGTTTTTATTTTGACCATACGTTCCTTTTGTAATTAGGAAAAACAGTAGCAATAAAATAAACCTTAAAATTAAGCAAAGAATGTGTTTTTATTTTTTTTAAAGGAAGGGTAGATTTAAAAGAAAAAAAAACAAAAAGCTAATACTAGGATTCATCACAAACATGTAGGAGTAAGGCCAGAAGAGCTGACATCCAACTGATCTGAGAATAGGAAAACATCCCAGAGACAGTAAAAGAAAACAAAACTGAACTTTTAAAAAAGATCAAAAAAGAGATTTACTGTTTCAGGCCAATAAGATAAAGGTGATGGGAGACAAATGGCAAGCAAAGCTGTGACTTTTCCTGTCTTCTCCATCAAAGGGAACCATTTTTGGATGGAAATGGAAAAATCAAACAACTGATAAGAGAATAGTATGCATAAGAGTGAAAAGATTGGAAAGAGAATGGTATGCATAAGGGTGAAAAGATTGGAAGAGAGGATCTCTTGTACTAACTGAAATGAGATCTCCTGGTCTCAACAACTATATCTTAGGGTTGGGAGAGAGAGAAAATATGAGAACTTACAAAAGAGATTGCTTAAGGAAACAAACTTTTGCTAAACATACAGTATGTGCTGACACAGCATTTTCTTATAATTTCTATAGTAATTCCCAAGTTATGCTTGTGGAGAAAATAAAGTGTAGGCTGGGTGCTGTAACTTCACTACAAGGTAGATCTTATTACCCCCATTTTATAGGTGAGGAAACTGAAACTAAATGAGATTAGATAATATGACCAAAAACACACTGCTAACATAGACTAAGAGGATATGTCAGGAATTCCCAAGACCAACCTCAGTCTGGCTTCACTAGAAAAACTCAAGGATTCAGAAAAGCTATAATACTCATGGCTATAGTTTCTTATAGTGAAAGGATACAGATTAAAATCAGCAAAAGGCAAAGCACATGGGACGAAGGCCAGTTATCCTCTCAGTTGACACATGCCCAGTGCTTAATTCTCCTAGCACTGAAGTGTTACAAAGGTGCTGCCAATTAGGGAAGCTCACCTGAGCCTTGATGTCCAGAGTTTTTATTGGGGATCAGCTATGTAGATATAGTGTCTCCATGACTGACCTTAGGTACTCAGTCTCTAGTCCCCTAGAGGTCAAACTGATACAGTGGCAGCTCAGGGCCTTAGGTATACCAAAACATTTTTATCAGGCAGGATACTCCACGGGCTCAGAGGTTGTCTCCCAGGAGCCAGTAAAGGGTCAGTCTTTTTTTGGAATATGCAGAACTTGAGTAGGGGCAGAACTAATAGGATAGATGTACACATAAAGGGGACCAGGCGCAGTCACTCATGCCTGCAATCCCAGCACTTTGGGAGGCTGACACAGGCAAATCATGAAATCAGGAGATTGAGACTAGCCTGACCAGCATGGTGACACCCCATCTCTACTAAAAATACAAAAATTAGCCAGGCATGGTGGCAAGTGCCTACAATCCCAGCTACGTGGGAGGCTGAGGCAAGTGAATCACGCCACTGCACCCCAGCCTGAGCAACAGTGCAAGGCTCCATCTCAAAAAAAAAAAAAAAAAAAAAAAAAAAAAAAAAAAAAAGGCAATCAGATGAAGTATCCCCAGGAAGGTAGTTTGTTGAACCAAATAAAATTGCTGCTTTCTGTAGATCAAAACACTTTGGCTGGGCACAGTGGCTCAAGCCCTGTAATCCCAGCACTTCAGGAGGCCAAAGCAGGTAGATCACCTGAGGTCAGGAGTTCGAGACCAGCCTGCCCAACACAGTGAAACCCTGTCTCTACTAAAAATACAAAATTAGCCAGGCATGGTGGCACATGCCTGTAATCCCAGAAACTCACTCGGGAGGCTGAGGCAGGAGAATCACTTGAACCCAGGGTGGAGGTTGTAGTGAGCCAAGATCGTGCCATTGCACTCCAGCCTGTGCAACACACTGAACTCTGTCTCAAAAAAAAAATTAATATTAGTGATTTAAACATAATGTTAACACCTGATAATCATTTGATGTGTCACTCCTCTAGGGGCATTTGCATTTTTGCCAGGGAATCCAGAAGACAGTGGCCCGGATTAGGAAGGGCAGACACTTGTGGACATGGAGACATTCTGATGCTTGCTAAATCACACCATGCCCAGCCTACATTTTCTTGACAGTTACTTCCATCAAGCTATACCAGTACCTCTTTATGGCATTGTCAACCCACGTCCATTCAAATAAATTACTGTTCCTATCTCAGCTGACT